ATATATATATATATACATATATATACATATATATATATAAATATATATATATATATATTTAAACACTTCTGTTTATGAAAACAGAAATGCAAAAATATTTATTGTGATATAATACTTAATTTTGTGAAATTTGCCTTTATTAGGTGAGTTTATTGACCTTTTTATGTTAGTTAAAATTACAATTAGAACTAAATTGTTGTTATTAAATTGAATTTTTATTAATTTAATAATTAACTAATAACCAATTAATTAATTAATACTTAATAATTTACAACAATAAGTAATTAATTAATTAAAATTTGAATGCAATCAAAGATCTTCCACCAATAAGATGACTCACTACCAACCTTTTTAAATTCCATTTAGGGACCCGGGGATGATTTGTGCAAAGGTCCTGGTCCAGTCCTTTTTATCTCCTGCCACTGAAAGACGGGCAATAATGTTTTTGCCTTTGTACGGTTGTTTGATTAACTGTTAGTAAAATATTTCTTGAATCACTGGAGGAATTTTAATGAAAGCTTCAGAACGTTCAAAGCAAACTTAGCCAGCACATTAATGGCTCTCAGTCAGTTTTACAAATGAGCTCAGATTTGGTGTGGTAGTAGCCAAGAGTCAGTTGAGGTGCTTCGGGCATGTGGTAAGGATGCTCCCTGGATGTTTCCCTAGGGAGGTGCTTCAGGCATGTCCGACTGGCAGGAGACCCCGGGGAAGACCCAGGACACGCTGGAGAGACTACATCTTGGTTGGTCTGGGAACGCCTTTGAGTCCTCCCAGAAGAGCTGGAAGAAGTGGCTGGACCTCCCTGCTCAAGATGATGCCCCGAGACCCGACTTCAGAACAAGCAGAATATGACGGACTGACTGACGGACGCATGTTTTGTAAAATCTGAATTTTGCTGGTCCTTCTTGTCTCGTTTTGAAGGAATCATGTCTGCGGTGAAGCTGGAGGAGTGTCGGCAGCACATCCGAGCACAGCTGGACAACGTCGTGAACTTCTGGCTCCAACACTCCCATGACACCGTCCACGGGTACGACACTCACACGCCCGCTCGTTGCCGTTAGCTTGGATAGTGGACGATAACCAAGACAGACTTCGGCCTTTGCTCCTGCACACTTTGTTCTTTTTTAGCCGTTCATACATCAAAACCTTTGGCTCATCCTGGAGATGGACGCTGGGACTCGTGGTGTTTGTAACTTTTAAACTTTTCAAAATATTTAACTTTAATTACAAAGATGTTCCCTACAGAATGAAGATCTGTACGGTTCCATCGAAATCCTTGTTCTCTTGAAATTCAGTAAACTTCTTCTGTTTTTGTTTTTTCTTTAGTCACGTTTGTTTTTGTAACCTCCGTGTTATTAGCATTTTGCTACTTTTAGCTTTGTTTTAAGTTACTTTTAGCTAATGTTTAGCTTCTTTTAGCCAGCTTTTTTTCCTACCCATGGCTTCAAGATATCTTTTTACGTCTTTAGTTTTTAGAGTTATATATATATATATATATATATATATTTAGCTTTTAGCTAATGTTTTACTTCTATTAGCTTTAGGATATCTTTTACTTCTTTTAGCTTAGCCTTTTGTTACTTTTAACCTAAAAGGACCTTTTTCCAATTGTTGCTTTTAGCTATATATTTGCAACTTGCGCTTTTGGCTAGTGTTCTGCTTCTTTTAGCTTTTAGCCAGTTTTCACACTGCATTTGTTTACGTGAAGGGGCGGAGCTTAAACTTGTACTCCAACCATCCATTAGGGGGTCGCTCATTCCTTGCGGCTTCAGTTTCCGCGTTCCGGTGCTTTCTTTAATTTTAATGTACCTTGATGGTTGTGACGGGTGTACAGGAAGTAAACCTGTTTACTTCCTGTTTCAGAGGCTTCTTCACGTGTCTCGGGAGGGACGGGGGCGTTTACGATGAGCTGAAGTACGTCTGGCTGCAGGGCAGACAGGTCGGTCTCTGATCCAAAGTAACATTGGTTCCATGAAACCGGTCCTGAGGGAAGGTTTGTCTCACAGGTGTGGATGTACTGCCGCCTCTATCGAACCGTGGATCGATTCAGAAGACCTGAAGTCCTCGAGGCGGCTAAAACCGGTGAGTTTCAACCACTTTTATGTTTGAGTTCATAAAAAAACGCAACTCTTGGAGTCAGTCTAGTTCAAGATGGCTGCTATGGAAAATTATCCTTCACAAAACAGAACCTAACTCGTTTAATTTTATAGACATTGACCTAAAATGTGTTGTGGTAGTAGCTGAGACTGATCCCTAACACATACTCTGAAGGCTCTCAGCTTAAGCACGACTTTTGTTTAGATTTTAATCAACTCTCAGAAATTACTTTAATTCATCCATTCAACCTTTATTTATCCAGGTTAGTCTCTTTGAGCCTCGTTTACAAGAGAGACCTGATTTCAACAAAGAACAGACGAGGAACAGACACGGTCATAAAAAAATCATATAAAATTAAAAGTAAAGTAAAAAAATGAAATAAAAACAAAACAAAAAACCAGCTACATCATAAAGCGATGTAAAATACTAAAAACAGGAATGAATGTTGGTCTACAGCTGTGGACCTGCGTGTGGTAGTAGCTGAGAGTCGTGGCTCGAGCGTAGTCTGAGATGAGACGCAGTGTTTTGACTTTTAATCTCGTTTTATCTCAACAGACTCAGACTGTTCGAGTCACGTCTTCAAAGATCAGGATTTTTTGTCCTGAGCTCCTGTCTGATAAAACTCTGCAGGACGTGACAAAAGATTCATCGTTCGTTCGTTCATTCATTCATTCATTCATTCGTTCATTCATTCATTCATTCATTCATTCATTCATTCATTCATTCATTCATTCAGCCTTTATTTCTACAGGTTAGTGTCATTGAGTCACGAGGACTCATTTACAACAGAGACCTGTTTTAACAAAGATCAACCAGCGAACAGGTCAATCATTGACTACAATCAGATTTTATCATCCGGTAATTTTATTCCTCCTCCGTCATATTTCTGCTCCTCCAGTGAAAAGAAACGACAAAGATCAAAGAAACTGTTTCATCCATTCATCTATCATCCATTCATTATCTATTTATCCATCCATCCATCATCCATTCATCATCCATCAATCATCAACCATGCATCCATCATTCATTCATTATCCATCCATTCATCCACCATCCATTCGTCTATCATCCATTCATTATCTATTTATCCATCCATCTATCATCCATTCATCTATCATCCATTCAT